GAGGACCAGCCCAAAAAATGAAGTGGGCGTGGGAGGCGGCGGATGATGTTCAGGCGGAGCGGGTGAGGGACGAGTTATGATTGAGGTTGATAGGAACCGTCTTGAGAGATGATACCCAAAATATTAATGCAACCACCAGCACCACCCAGTTCCAGCTTCGAACAAGCACCCTTCACCGTGCAGCCGTGACACGCGGGGAACAAAACAATGGGTCATCATCCATAATTGTTTACCCGTTGCGTCGTGTGTTTGGTGGTTATTATACATATCTCAGTTGCCTGAATGTGCTGGCCGTGTATATGCACCACCACCCGTGGAAAATGCGCCAGACTCCGTCCCTTTAAGCCAACCCATTGAACCCATCCCTACTACCAGCCCATCTCATAAATCATCATCGACGTCATAACTATCCGATACACGCTCTGCTCCCCAATAAAATACAACAATAATACAAAAAAAGTGAGAAAAGAGGAAAGCGGAGTACTCAATCGCCAGGCCCCTTCATCATCTTCCCAATGGCCACCGCCCCCGCAAGCAGCATCATCATCCTCGGCAGCACCGAGCGCCCATCATCTAGCTCATCCCCGCCGCCTTCTCCCAGCTCCTTCGCGCTCTTCATCCCCTTCCTCAACGGCTTCCGCGGATCATCCGGTTTCGCCGCCGGCCCGCTCGAGACCGACCTCTCCGCGGCCGCCGGGCGGTCCCGCGCCGCCTCGCCGTCCGGCAGCAGCAGGTTCTGCAGCGGCAGGCTCATCCGACGCGACCGAGCACCGCCTATCGCGCCGCCGAGCGCACCGCGCAGCCCGACCTCGACGAGGCGCGTCTCGTGGAGGCCGATGTGCAGGTAGCCGGCTGTTTGGGGACGGCTTTTGTTGGTGTGGGCCTGCTCGGTGGGGGGAGCCTTGGTGTATCGGGTTTCGTCCGTCGACGGCCGGATGGTGTCGACTGAGTCGCGGACGGGGCTAATGAAGGACGCGGTGTCGGAGGAGAGGCTGATTCGGCTTAGGGCGGGGATGGATTTCGGGAGTTTGGAGAGGTCGGGGATGGGTGCGAGGTTAGGGTTGGGTTTCGCGGGCTGTGTGGATGCTGGGGTCCGGGCGAACTCGAGGCTCTCACGAAGGGTGCTGGGATTGACCGGGGAGCTAGGCCGAACGGTACTTGTCGATGAGCCCGATGTCTCGGAAACGTGGGGCGTAAGGCTACTCGGCAGAGATCTCCGGGGCGATGTGTTTGCCATGGGAATCCGGCGCCGAGGTCCCACTGTCGGCGCAAACACGCCGATCGCCGACTTCAGAGCTAGCGCCGGTCTCGTCGATCCTAGCTTCGGGCCCGAACGCCTTCCTGAGAAGGTCGTCATTTCCGACCCTAGGATCAGAGCGAGGTTCTTCGGACTCATAAGCATCCTCCCCGCCAATCCCGTCAGCCCAAGAATCCACTTGCAAAATTCCATGCCCGACAAACTGCGCGACAGCATTGTTCCGGGCCTCGTGTTTGACAGCCTCAAGGGCAGCCGGGGCGGCCACGGATTGTTCTGCAGCCTGCTCGTCGGCATTTTGCCCGTCGGAAGCCACCATCGGTACCGTGTCCAATCCCTCGACGTCTTCAAACTTCGGCGAGTCGGTTTCGGCAGCTCCGAGCACGATCGGGTCCATGATCGAGTCGCCCTCATCCTCCTCGAGAGTACCGAAACCCGGGGCCTCGGTACAAACAGCGTCAACCTCGGACTTCCCGCGCGCCCCGCCATCGACGTTGTCACCGGGTAGTCCACCCAGCACCGGCACCGAGACGGATTCCTCAAGTTCCCCAGCGAAACCCTGCTTGGGACCTTCGGTGGCATCGGTGGCATCAGACACGGCCGAAACCGCGCCCGGCTCTTCCTTGGTTCCGTCTCCGTTCGGCAATGTATCACTCCCAGGGTCGGGCACGGCAGCTTGCTTTCCCTCCTCGAGGGGAGTCTCCGAGTCCGAGTCCCCGGCGGCGTGACCATTTCCGACCTGGTTAGCAAACACATCGGGTCCGTCGGGTCCGTCAGGTACGGCACCGAGTTCGACATCTTCCCCAATCACGGCACCGCCTTGAGGCTCAATGTGAACTTCGGCATGAGACCCGGGACCGCGACTCCCCTCCTCATCACCAACCCCAGCGTCCCGGGTATCAACCCCAACCGAACCACCACCACCCTCAACCTCCCCCCCGGGACCGACATCCCGAGCGGTCACCTCCCCAGCAGCAAGACGCTCCCCACCAAACTCCTCATGCACAAACCCGAACCCATCACCAACACCCGCCTCCCCGACACCCACATCGGACCCGACAACACTCGTCGGGCCCATCCCCCCCTCCGCACCTTCTCCCCCAGTCCCAGCCCCAGTCCCAACCTCGGCACCGTGCCCGGCGCCGAGTTCGCTCCCGGGCGACGACGCGTCCAGCCTATCGGCGGGCTTTGCGATGACAGCAGCAGAGGCAGCAGCAGGCAGATCTGGGGCGAGGGCGGCCGACGGCTGCTCGCTCGGGTCCGATGGCCGGATTTCGGACTCTGGGGTGGGGGAGTCCGATGCAGGGGCTGTGAGGGCGGGCGGGCTGTCGGCTGGTGGTGCGTGGGGTTCGGTTCCGAGGGGGCAGGGAGGAGAAGGCTGGGTTTTTTCCGAGGGTGCTGGGGGGGTTGTTTTTGTGTGGTTAGACGGGGGATTTGGGGGGGGTGGTGGTGCATGATAGGGTCGAAAACAGCGACTCTGGTCTATCACCCTAAGGTGTTACATTTCTAAATCGTTCTTGGCCTG